ATGAAAAGTCACATGAACGGAAAAGAACCATATCCTCTTTAATAGTTGAGAAATAACGAAATTCATTTCTGGATGAAATCATTCAAGTCAACAAATACACATGGCATCATTATGTTATAAAAATATCCTTTATTTTTATAGTTATAGTCTGTTTATTCTAATTAAAATTTAAAATTTCCCAAACTCCTTGGGATCTTTACAAGTTTTTCAAGATTACAAAACGACACAATTTGAATAAACATTCTCGAAAGAGACGCTAAACAAATAGAAATACAAACAAATATAAATAAAATAACAAATAATATTCCATCACAAACAATATATTATAAACCCTGACCCCTGGAAATTTCAGGGGGGACCTACCGACCCAGCAGGCACAAGACATTGAAAAAAAAACTTTGAATCAATGTTGATCATATATGCTGATTCAACATTTAGTTTATTTGAGATTCTGAAAATTAAAAATAAAAAAAATTAAGCTAGTTTTTTTTTATCTTAACGTTGATTCAATGTTGAACATCAATGTTGATTAGACATAGAATAAAAGTTAATTCATTTTTTTTAACAATTTATTTGGGGTGGGGGTTATTACTTATTTAAAGTTTTAATCGTTTTAATACAGGTAACTCAGATGCCTTCATAAATGTAAAAAGGAAAATGTATAATTATAAATAGAATCTATATTGTTAACATTTAATAAACTTCCCATCAATAGGCAAGTTACAATAAATTTCACCAAAATACATTTTATTAATAAGTCATTTTAGAAAATTTGTACTTTTTCTATTGCTGAATTATGTTCAGCTGTTGAAAAAAATCCTTCAAGCAGAAACACAATAAAACTACTCAAATAAATCTCGAGAAAAAATCGCTATCAGTTATCTTTTACTTTTCAGTAAAGTTTGTCTGTACAGACCTTTAATGTTAGCAACGGGTAAAAAGGCCTGTGGATTTACATTAGAGGATGCAAGGAAGCGTCTTGAGTCAGGTAATCCGAAATACTGTATGCAGGTTATTTTCGCCAAGTGTTATTTTCGCCCTTTCATACTTGATAATTTTGTTTCGTTTTAAATTCGCCCAGTCATATTTTTGTTTGAAAATTATACGGCATTCTTTTATATTCGCCCAAAGGAGGATAAGGCGAAGAGGGGCGAAAATAAAATGGGGGCAAAAATGTTCCTGTATACAGTGTTTAAAAGTAGTTTTACTCCAATTTAAGAAAAAAATATATATCAATCACATTTGATATTAATTCCTAAAATTTTGCTACTTTTCCTACTAAACAAAAGCTGGTCAACACCTTGTTGCAAACTTGATAATCGCACTTAGTAATATTCTAATCAAAGTCAATTTATTTTTATTGCTCGTGTTATTTTTATTATTTAGATGAGGAATATTGTGCTCAGAAATGTCAAGTAAAAATAAATGACCTCTACGGAGAACATAATTATCACCTGATATATACAGATCTTAGTTTCAATGGATTAAGTGTACATATGGCTACGCTCACCAAACCATGCGGCAACTATTACGGGTGTAATAGAACATATGGGAGAAGATTAGAAATTGTATGCAATTCGGATGGAGAAAATTGTGTGGTTTTTTTATGTAACTATCAAAATAGTTTTAGGCGATTCATGTACTTGATTTTCATTTTTAAAAAACTATTTTAAAAGAAATCATCTTTCATTGTTTACACACTGAATTGTCAAAGGATTTTCCCGTTATTTCCCAATCATGACAAGGAACACACGGCATGTGTGACTGGTCGGCAGGGGATGCTCACTCCTATATTGGACTTGGCCCCACTTCTGATGTTTTAGAAGTCCGTGTTTGCTTTGCTCCTATTTTGTTTCGTTTAATGGATTTTTGACCTTGATTACTGTTCGTTATCTCAATATGTTTCATTTTAAGTCAAGCATGTACAACTGAAAATTAGTTTTTTTTTCAGTTATTATCGAATAAATTACTACTAAGACAAACTTTGTAAATAACTGTCAAATTTTTATCCAAGCTTAATATTTGAAAAAAAATGACTAGATCTCCTAGAGAGTTTGTGTACATTGTCGAAACAGTGTAATGATGAATCTAAGACATGTTCACGATCGTGGACACACCAAATTGGGTTTTGTGTATGTTAACCTGGATATAAAGGATTCGGAACTAAATGTATTCAAGGTAATTGCTTACAGATATGGAAGGGAATTACCTCCAAAAGTCTATGTATCTTGCTTTTATTCTTATTCTGTCTACTTCTTTATGCTAAAATGTTATTATTGTAATTATATGTCACTTTATTGTTTTCATATTCGTCTTTATTACATTTCACTTTGACTTTTATCCTTCTTCATTTTGCCCTTACTTTTATGTTGCTTTATTCTTGTAAATTCATTCTTACTACTTTCTTTTAAACTTAAACAGTTTCTTTAATAAATTTTTAGCATTATCCCTACTACGAATGTTAATTCAATCACGCAAACAATGAAGCATATTCGATGAAGACGAATGCAAGTTGTCAAACCGTCAAACTTTAGTGCGGCATTATAACGCTAGGTGGCGTGGTGTTCCCTACGAGTGTTGGTAAAACTAGGTAAGCAAACCCGGGTCGGGTTATTTGAGATTCTTCAATACGCCTTAATACTTTATCAATCGAACTTCCGAAGGCCGGATCCGATCTCCCGATCCAATGATGGAAACTCTCTGGGCACACAGGAAAAGCAGCTTTTTTTTCAGACATAACTTTATACTATATACTGAATATGTTCATTTCAAGGCCGACCCACTTTTTGTAAGAGTAAGAGGGTCAAATAAGTAAATGTAGTACGTATAGTAGGAAGAAAATTTAAATTTGATTTTATAGAAGAATATGAATCTAACTCAAAACCCACCCGCCCCCGAAATAGGATTTCATTGGCCTCGGAAGCTAATTGAAAGTTGGAGGGGGGGGGGGTTAAGTGTAAGAATTTTTTTTAGACCTTAAACTTTTTTAAACTTAAAAAGAAAACCTGACAAGCAAAAAAAAATGCCCATTTTCCAAACACAAAAATCCTATTTTGTGAGAAAGGATGGGGTTGGGGTGGGTTGAAGGTTCGAACTCCAGTGCCAAAGTATTTTTCTTTCAAAATTCCAAATATACCACCACTTTCCCCATTTTAAACCTTTACTGCATCGTGTCCATGGAAAGTGTGTGTGTGTGTGGGGGGGGGGGGGGCGTAACCTACGCAGGAATGTTCAATGTCTATACTAAGTCTATCTTTTGAAAGAAGTGGGGGCTAAGCCCCCCCCCCCCCCCTCTCCCCGGTTCCGACGCCTATGTATTTTTAAGTTTGGAAAATTTCCTGCAAAACGATGCTACGTCACTGTTCTCTCGTCTGAAAAATATATCTCTACTAAAGTTATTTGTTGGATATTTGAATTACAGTTTAATTGTTATAAAAATGTTAAATATTTTGATACTAGTTAACCCTTATAAATTGGGTAATTTTTCAGAACCTTCCACTGAAATGAAGGGGTGTAACTTTCTTTCCCTTGTTTAAGTAACCTTGTTAATTCCAGGGGGTCCTACCTACTACATCCAGGCATAATAGAAACACCCTGGTCTTTTTTTCTGCGTAAATATTTTATATTGAAATAGACTTTTCAATAAAGAAAGAAATATCTTTAGTACGCACCGTGTTTTTCATCAACCAGAAGAGCTTAAAAAAATGAAGGGGGGGGGGGGGGGTTCGTCAACTTTTTTCAGTAATAAATTTTATTCATATGCCACTAAGTACATGACTTTTAATATATAAATTGACTATTAGTACTGCAACAAAAAGTTTAAGGGATAAGGGAGGGGGGCAACAAGCCTTTCGCTGAATTTTTCCAGTAGTAAAAAGTTACGTTTAGGAAAATTTTTCGTGGCCACCCTCCCCTCTACCGATGAAACTTACCCCGCAGGAGGTCGTCCACCCGGAAGTCAGTATATATATTGAGACTTTGGTGGTGTGATTGTACATTGTTTAATTTCCTTTTCGAAAATTTTTCACTCAAATGGAGAAGCCACTTCTTGCCGGTGGAGAGCTGCAAATGTGTCCTATATACTCGGCACTTATAGCCATTGAGCAGCGAGGGATCTTTTTTCGTGCCAGCACCTACTGCGACACGGGACCTCGGATAATACGGTCTAGATCTCATGCGAAGGATCGAACTCCACATCCTATAGTGGGATTGGAACCCACGACGTATTGGTCGACTCCCTACTACTGTACTTCGTGACTCTATATAGACCCGGCAGACGCCGTTACCACAGTGCCCCGCGGGCGACTGCATCCCCGGGGGCGGGGGGGGGCGGCGAGAAAGAGTCTTTATCCATATGTACTCGTGAAGATTATCTATGTTTAACTAAATGGTTAAAATGATTTAATTATAAAATGCTATTAAAATTATATTATTTAAATATTTATTCATATAGAACTAGGGACCTATGTACTAGTATATATATAGGTCTCTGATAGAACGGATAAATGTTCCTCAAAAACTGAAAACGTTAGTATATATAAACATTGTTTTACGATTCGGTTTACGATTTAAAAAACTATTCGGGGGAGGGGTTGCTAGGAATTTGGGCGAATTGCTATATATAGCGAGATTTCCCACGGAAGACTAGCTATATATTGAAACTTCCCCCCCGGGGGGGGGGGGGTCCCACTGTATATAGTCTTCTTACCACCTAGCGAGACTTCCGATGGAATTGCATGTACCGGCTACATACCTGGATTTCCATATACAGACACGCTTATACTATCACTTTACTACTTAAATTTGTTATGAAAAAAATATTTATATATTTTTTTTAATAATGCTTTTTTTCGGTCTCATTTTCTTTTCTTGGGATATTTTCAATATTCCAAGAATCAAAATGAATTTTGAATTATCCTACCTTTACTAGATTCCTAACGTTAATATTTTCAATGATATAAGCTTTTTTGCGAGCGCGCAAGCGGCAAAGTCACGTGACACCCGACATTCGAAGGCGGTCTATTTTGAATCCAAAATGGTGAAACGCTGTTCTTGGGGCACATGTAACAGCGATAATAGGTACATGCATAAAGAATACATGAAAGGAGTGGAATTTTTCCCAGTACCAAAGCCTAAAACACGATTAGACGACACCAAACTTTGGGTAAAGGCATGCGGAAGAAAGTTTTTTACCGTTGACAATGTAAACAAACATACATATGTATGTAGCAAACATTTTATTGATGGTCGCCCTACCGAGTTGCATCCCTATCCATTAAATGCCAATTCAAATAGAGTTATTTTGAAAGGTAGAAAACGTGCGACAAGAAAGCACAGCTTCACACCAGGAGATAAACAGACCAATGCCAATCTCGGCAAGGATGGATTTGTACCACACCCCGTGCCAGAGGCCTCCTTGTTTGTTACCGTCGAAGAGGAAGAAATCAGTGAAAAAGTCTCAACCCAGCAGCAGCTCACAGAAGGTAAAATATAATTCAAATTTTGAATAAACTCACATGAGATAAACATGAAACATTCGCAGAGTGAAATCTAGATTGATCATAGTTATGTGTAACTACAAGTGTAAAAGTGTAAATAGACCAATTTAAGCTAAATTTCAAAACATTACCGTAAAAATATTAAGGTTCCAAAATTTGAGTGGAAGATCTGTATATATCCCAATGACCCATAGATAAACGCATTTCACTGAGAAAGAATGCACGACATGCAAACACTTACAATGAAATGGAAAAACCCGAAGTTATTTTTAGTCTAAAAAACATACTTTTCAAATACTGACTGGATTTCTAAAGGTTCCATAGGAATTTGAAAATAGAATGTATCGGCTTTTCAACTCGCACTCTGGTGTGTTAAAATGCCATTTAATATTCAAACAAAACAGCTGCTGTTCTTTTTCTTCCAGGCTATTTTCTTTGAGACTATATTACAAGTGGGAGTGGATCACATTTTTTTTTTTAGAAAATGCAAAAGATTAAGAGGAGAGCAATTTTTAATATCAGCATCACAAAAAAATTATTGCGAGCTGATCTAACTTGTAACTTCAATTTCCAACATTTCAGTTGATGACCACTTATATGCTAAACCTGTGCAAATGGTTAATGTTGCCACCCAGACCAACCCGGACATAGAGGGAATGTCAAGCAATGAGGAATCCCAGGATAGGGGGAACACAAAGAGACGCCTTCTGATGGAAGATGTATATAAAAATGACATGTCCTGCAAATTTTACACAGGTTAATGAACTTTGTTTCATGTGTAAAGATAATTACTACTTTTGATTGAATTAAAAAATTCTCAGAAATATCATTTTAAATGGAAGAGAGATAGTAGGTTTGGCTGAAAATTAGTATATCTAATATGCATTTTAAATATATTTCTGACTTTGTACATACCTATAATTATTTGAAATCTCATCATGTTACATTTAATAAACTTTGTATCATACTTTATATAATTATATAGTACATCATGTAATCACTATCATTTAAGACCAGTGCTAGTTGTTCTCATATACCCTTGTTAATCACATTCTAATAAATAAATAATGTATTTATCCTTGATCCATACAGGTATAACATTGGCAGTTTTTACTATCATCTTCAATGTACTTAAGATTAAGGCATCCTCAATGGTGTACTGGAATAGCACAGAAACAAATGAGCGACAGGATTCCAAGGTAATACAATGTCATTACTCTTCTTATCATTATGACCCAAACAAATTTTCTGTGAATCTAATGTGTATTAATTTTAAAAAACTTGTAAAGTCTATAAAAAATACACAATTAATTAATACCAATACAAGAAAGCCACAATAATGATTCTATTTATTACTTTCATGTTAACAGACTCCAAGAAGAGGACCTAAACGCTTGCTTTCATTGAAAGAAGAATTCACTTTAACCTTGTTGCGACTACGAAGAGGATTTGACACCAAATCACTCAGTGATATGTTTGCCATTTCTGAAAGTTCAGTAAGCCGAATATTTACTACATGGATGTGTCTCATGAGCATTGACCTTGGCTTTCTCATCAAATGGCCATCCAAAGAACAGATCATGGAAAATTTGCCCAAATGCTTTAAACATTTCAAAAAAACAAGATGCATTATTGACTGCACTGAATTCTTTGTGCAAAAACCCAGTCTTCCATCTGCTCAGAGAATAACATATTCATCTTACAAACACCATAATACCTTCAAGTGTTTAGTAGCAATAACTCCATCGGGTTCATTTTGTTTTGTATCTGATTTGTACACTGGTAGTATTTCTGACAAGAAAATAGTACAAGAATCTGGCTTTTTGGATAATATCGAGTTTGGTGATGACATTATGGCGGACCGTGGCTTTCTCATAAGAGGCGATCTAGCATTAAAAGGTGCAACACTAAACATTCCCCCATTTTCTTTTGGAAGACAGATGGGTAGCAATGCCACCACTAAAACGAGAAGGATTGCTCGAGCTCGAATTCATGTAGAACGAGCAATTGGACGTTTGAAAAACTATGCAATTTTGCAAGGTGTTATGACTCTCCAGATGAAGCCTTTGTACAGTCAAATTGTAAAAGTATGTGCAATGTTATGCAACCTTGACTGTCAACTTGTGAAGTAAATCTTATGTGTGTAAATCAGTATAGCACATACATTTGAATAATAAATGACAAAATAATTACAATGCTTTGATAATTTCACATTTTAATGCTACATGTAACTGACATACAGGGATCTGATTAGTCCTCCTTTCAGAGGAAATTATCCGATTAGCTTAATTTTACAAAAAAGTGAAACACTGAAATAGATCTTATGTGACAAAGCATTTTTCACCAATAACACAATCTTAATTCTGCCTACCAACTCCATTTTTTCAGGAGGTAACAGTACAGTAGTTACATATATTCTGTAGTAAATTAGTAAACGCAGCTTTTTTTGCCTAATTTATAATGCAGGTACATAAGCAGTTACTGTTGCATTAAAGATTTAATTACATGTTGTTTAAAAAATGATTCAAGTTTGCTGAGCATCTTCTGGAAGAAATCTGGATTAAAATCAGCATGAGCAACACATATTCCTTTCTTTGTATAAAGTATAAGATTAGATTGATGTATACCGTATATACCCATCTGCCCTTGCATCTGATGATAGTATTCTGAGTTTTCAGACACAACCATCTCACCTCTCTCATTAATAACACAACCTTTTTTAAGACAAACATTCCTTGGTTCATCGTCCCTGTGTGTAAAAGGACATTTAACCTCAATAATAGTGCTATCATGGCATTTACATGTAAAAAGACCATCAATAGAACAACCAATGAAATTCATGGTTGGATGTATTCTTAAGCCTTTATGTGACAGAAGGGGATGTACATGTGACTTATGACATACTCTCATGTAATGTTGAAGAGCTGCTTTTTCTTTCTTTTTACCCCACACAAATGATGGAGCTGAAATTTCTCCATACTCACCTAAAATAGTCTTTAGAAGTGAAGGTGGACATTTGTTAGAATCAACTGCTTTGCAGATTTTACTAAAATTAGATGTAGTCAATCTGCCTTTCCTCAGCTCATGCCAAATCTTGAAGTCGGATTGCTCACTTGTGCATGATTCAATGTGAGAAATATTATCATTGGAAAGAGTACATAAATTCTCAGAGTTATTGAATTCATTTTCATTACAAGATGCTATTTTCTTTAACATGTTTGGCATGGTAAAAGCAGAACATTCAGGACATTGCTGATCAGCTTCATCTCCCTTGTCATTCTGCACTGGTTTTTGTACCTCCAGAATATCTAAGGCTTGTATATTTGGGGATATCTGGAAGAAATTTAGAAAAAAATGTAAATTGAAAGTTTTAATTGCCATTCTCTGTAACCACTTAAACTTCGTTGCCACGCATGGTCACCGATTTTGATGAAACTTCACCCATGCTTAGTACTTGACACCAGAAACAAATATCAAACAAAATTTCGTTTAAGTGTCTCGGTTGCTATGGCAACAGCCGGAAAATTAGATCAGCCACTTTAAATCCTGACTGTGGCTTAATAAAAACTAGAAAAAGCATATTCACAAACCATTCTAACAAAAACATGACACCTTGATGTCACTTATACTGTGAAGAAACTGTTTAGAATATATCTCTAAGTAAGTGGTAACCAAGGGTACATTTGGAATACATTTAAAATGCTGAAATATGCTGAAAAACACTCCATATTCACTAATGGTAGGTGTTACATGCTAAAACTCAATCATTGACTTAAGAAAAACAATGAAAATGTTTGACCTTAAGTATATAAGTATAAGCAATATTATTCTATAAATAACTTTTATGGTTGCCATGGTAACACAGTGTAACCATGCAAAACCAGTAACTAAGATTGGGTTAATGCATGTCTTGAGGAAAAACATGAAAATTCAAGACTGGCAAATATGCATCCTTAGGACCTTGCAACACCAAAACCATAAGAAAAATTGGGTATAATTGCTACTTTGTAGTGTTACCATGGAAACAAAGTACCAGTGCTTAAAAGTGAATTTTTTTCCGCTGCATTAAGAATTAAATTGCCATTTAATCAAGAAACAAATTAAAGAGCTCAGCTGGAATAGTCTTATCTGTTAGAACTGAAGTTAAATATCATATATTGATAAAATTTGATGAATAAAACAACACTGTTGCTATGGTTACCAAGAAGGGAAAATGTTCGATTTTTTTAACTTTATATCAATATTAAACCCTGTGTGCCAACTTCTTGCATCCACTTAGAGATTGGATGATCGTCAAAATTAAAAGTCAAGTTAGCTTTTAATAAATATCAATCATAAAAGTTTTGGGAATCTACATTTAAGGGTACGTATCCAAGGAAACAAAATATTTTTCAGGTTTTTAAGCATATATTTTCTGCTTATTTCCATAGCAACACTCTATTTAAAGAATCTAATCTGAATTTTTTGAAATGGGAAAATTTGGAGCACACCAACATCTTATAAAATTGATCATTAGTTATGAGGAAATGTGCTTTTTTTTAGAAGATAGGATCATATTTAAACATACATAGTGTTACTTTGAAGGCTCTCTGGGCATAAAAACCTTGGCAACCATTGCCAACCAAAACGAAATATCATATTTTTTCTTGGTATGTGTTTCAAGGCTCTTTTTTCTATTATTTGGTAACATTTCATCCTATAATTGCTTTTCATTTTTACGAGTATGACTTCATAAAATTCAATGAATATTTTTTTTTACTTTTGAATAACGTATGTAATAGTTGATTTACCAAACATGTTTATCATGACATCTTACCTTCAAGAAACAGTCATTAACAATTGTTTGCTTTGCCGCAAATGTTAACTATGGGGCTCTAAACATGTTAAAAAATGCCATTTTTCGAAATAGCAACCAATTTTTGCCTGATTTCAGTTCAGGGTATCAATGCTTTTTATCATAGAGAGTTTGGAGAAATTCTGAGACTATGCGTGCCACAGCTCCTATATAAAATTTCAAATCATTACAGAGAATGGCTCTTAAATAACAAATGAAATGTAAACAAAAAATTAGCACTTTAATTATATGATGCTTTATAATTGTTGTATTAAATAACAATGGTGGGCAATTTCAATTGGTTTTTCAAATCAGATAAAAATACAATGCAAAGACAACACTGAAAAAATAAATACACAGAACATAATTATGGGAAATGGGTTACCTCTCGAAGATTCTTTGCTATTTCACTGATTTCCATTTCTGTGTAAGTTTGTCTCTGATCTACACTGCGCGGGTCAAAACTGTGAGCAGCAGACTGGTGATAATCCACACTTGCATACCTTAATTGAAATTTGTGTCAGTCTTGAAATGATTTGTTGTAGGTACATCATCATTTTTTTTTCAATATATTTTTTAAAGTCTTCTTACCATTGATTATAATGGCATAATAAAACTTACTTAATAATATTTGAAGTGCATGTACATATGATATTATGTAAAGCACAAACAATAGACAAAATATAATACTAACACATTACTCAATATGTATCCTAATTGTAGTCTCTGTGTCAATTAAATGTTCATTTAAGAATCAATCATTCAGACCTAGAGTTTACTTTTAAGAATTAAAAGATTGCAAATTTATCATAACATTCTACAAGAGTCATAAAAGAACAAGTACCTAGCTTTCAAGATTTTAAGTTGCTTTATAGGCACTGGGCAATCATGATGTCGTGGTCGTTTTACCCACAAGTTATCTCCATCTGTGACTGACTTGACATCAAAAGCCTCAATTTCATACAGGGTTGCTCCGATGTGGCGACATCCTCCATCAGCTCTACAAAAACAGATTGATGTCATTTGTAAGAAAACATCACCCCCCTTACTCAATAAAGTCATCAATTGCAGTGGTATATATACATGTACTTGGATTTTTTTTTAAACATATAGATAGATGTGTGTATAATGCAGGCTGCATTGAACCTACTTCTGCAAATAAAATTAATTACATGTCACAGGTGTTTTGTGTGGTCATTCACTCATTGAAACCAGCTTACATCCTACTCAGTGTACCTGTCTCACTTATATTTATAAAAGTTTACTTACCCTCCAATGCATGTGCAGTAAGCACAATTTACGCTTCCACTTTTACACATAACCACCCAAACATCATAAGCTGTTTTATTTAGGTAAGTCCTATCCTTCTGCGTAGGTTTCACGCAGGATTTGATAAGGTAATTATCTCCATCTTCAAGTTCCTTCATTTCTAACTTCTCAACATACCCATCGAAGAATAGTCTATAATCTTCACAAGATTTGTACGCTTTTAATTTCCTTTGATCATAATTTGCAGTTTTATATAACAAGTAATTAAACACATCATACAGGGAAAAGGTTGGTAATTTTGTGAGATCGTTAGAAAGTCCTTGGATCTTGAAGGGGTCAACAGAAAACTCGCCGAGAATATCGTATATTGACACTGGATGATCGGCGCACATATCGGGATCATCTGGTAAGTTCAGCTTAACAACTGCCTCACATAGCTTTACCAAGTTCTCTCGTTTCACATTTGAAACAGAAATCCCTTTTCCTCTCAGAATCTCGTGCAGTTCTACCACTTTCAAGGATGTAAACATTGTAGACGACATGTTAACTATAGACGCTTTGTCGGGTATCACGTGACAGTGTAAAACTAAACGTTAAAACCATTACACCGGGTATATTCAACGTTTTATATTAAGCATTTTAAATATATGATAAATAGAATACTACATACTAAAATCCATACCATATGTCACATAAGCCCTCGCGCCCCATATCGGCCCTCGGGCCTTCGGCTCTCGGGCTGATATGGGGCCACTCGGGCTAATATGACATATGATATGGATTTTAGTATGTAATATTCTCTATATATTACACTGTGGATTTGGACGTTTTATTAAAAAAAATGAACCCATTATTATAACTTACGTCATGGATGCCTACTAGTTAAGTACAAGAACAAGACGAATACGTTACATGGAGATACCCAGATTATTAATATTTAAGCTCAAACGTTCATTGAACAATGCAAATTTTTGAACAGACCAAACACTGACCTTCTAAAACTCAAAGTTTCCATACGCTACGGAGGTCAGCGACCATCACCCGGCAACCAGCCAGACTGCCCTCCGTCCCCTATCATGGTCGGAAAACATTAAAAAAAAATCCGCCGATAATTCAGCGTGCAAATTTAAACAAAGGTCCAACAATAAGCATAAAAACATCGGGCAGTACCTGGTTTCTCATAAATTCTATTTGCTGACAAGGTCACCGTATTGATCACTTATCTTACAGAATGATGATTATAATCAGCATTCAACTGTCGAAATCCTTGTCTTATCAACTTATTTGTCATAAACTTGCCTCGTTTTAGAAATTGTTTATACAAAGAACAGCCCATATGGGTGGTTTAAAATGAGTAAACTGTATCAATTTGAAACATTTCCTTCTCTTTCTCTTTTTGGTAAAGATTTCTCAGAAGATTTGTTTACATCAACGAAGGAATGTACTGATATATCTAAGACGTGTTTTCGATCTTGGACAGAACAATATGGAGTATGTGTCTGTAAACCTGAATATAAAGGATTTGGAACTGAATGTTTAAAAGGTAAATGTTCATCAGATGCGCTTATCTTACTGGAATTATTGAAATATTACTTAAAGTTTTAAATATGCGTTTAAGTTTTTCATAAGGAATAGCAATCTTTACATAACAACATGAGTTTAGTATTATATTTTTGTAGAAAATTTGAAACTGGGATACCAATGCAAGCGAAATGAGCAGCGTTCCGTGACATCTGGTTCCGTTTGTAAGAATGATACTTGTGTCTGTGGGCCAGGATATGGCCAACTGAGTGATTCGGAGTGTTTTCCATGTATGTTCTCTTAAATATATTTTAGTGTTGGCAATCGAATGCAGAATTGATAATCGGTTAACTCTAGTCGTTCCGACCGATCAACCGGTTAATCGTATCATCAAAATATACATTTTCAAAGAACTTGTAGATCTTTCCGTATGTACACAGAAAAACTTAAAAAGGAAGTTAAATACATTTCGTTTGTCTTGATTTGTATCAGTAAATTACATTTTTTGTTTCAGTTCAACAACAATTTAGAAAACACATCTTTAAAAATTCTCAATCTAATTATTTTTAGCCCAATAATCTAAACCAAGTCTGAACTGTAACCCTTTATTCACAATGTTTTTCTAATATTTCAATTAAATAGAGAATGACATAGGACATACCATTTCACAGTGCTCTCATTAAATTATCATTATTTAAGATATACCAGACGGTCTGTGCAGCGGAAAGGTTTTTGCCAATAATTAACGGTACTCAAACTGACCAATTACCCCATGGTCTCAACCCGAACAGCAATAATCTCAAGATTAGTTTTTTAAACGCTAAATTTCCAACCAAATTTGCAGCGATTTCTATTTTTAATTTCAATTTAAAGAACTGTGTATACAATTTTATTTTTCCGACTAACCGATTACAAATTTCTAACTGATTGCGATCTTTCCGACCGAGTAATAAGTTAAGCGGTTACAAGTTGCCACAATATATTTACATGTATAGCATTCTATTCTATTCTGTGAGGTATTCTAACCGATAATGTGAAGTCTGATTGAGTTTGAAATGTAGAGACCTCATAAAAAGCCGCCGAAAGACATGCATTTACGGTTAAATTTTCATAATGAAGGGCAAGTTAAGCTCCTCAAAAATCTCAAATATTAAAAATATCTTATTCATTATAAATAAAGATCTGAGGGGGGCTGACTCGGGTTTTATTGTGTGAAAACTACAATAAGGAAACTCTTTATTTTATACCATATATAACTTACATTACCTTCAGTGTACATGTCAAGTTTAGGGGGGGGGGGGATCTACCGTCCAGGTATTTTAGGGGACCATCTCAAAATACAAGTATATTAACTATAGGATTTTATTGGAAAATGCCGATTTTTATCACTTTAAATCAAATAATACAAATACTACAATAGACTTTTTGTTCAAACTATTATACTTGATGAGTAATACTGTGTTGTACATTATATATAAGAAACATAAAATTCTACCGTCTTGTCACCAGAGGGGGCATCTCAAAATATAAAAAAAAAAATAACGAATTTTTCTATTTTTATACAGTATTACAAAATATGAGAGACACATATGATTTGTGTGAAAAAATTGTACGAAAAGTGAAAAGATTCTCAAAATTTTAGATTTTAAATTTCAAGAGTGTATGTTTATTACTTTTTCTTTAATAACATTATTATTACCCCTTTCATGAAGAGTTTAGTTTATCTTAACGTCCAAAACACACAGTAACAACATCAACCTACCTATAAATTGCCAAATCGGTTAAAAGAATCAGTTATATAAAATTGTAACTTCTTATTTCCTAATTTTGCTTTATTTCATTAATCAAGCGAAAAAGGTTGCTTTAGAGACTCAGTAAATACGCTTCAATTAACGATGATGTACACTGTACAAAATATTGTAAACTACATTAGGCCCTTTTAAACTTACTTTTTTGAAACGTGCTGGGATATGGTTGTGTGTTGTTGGTTATTCTGTAATTTAATAAAAATATTTCAATGCTTATCCAGTCAATGTTGTAGTTTATTCAAGTACGGCTAAATTTTACATTTTTTCGGACATAAGGAAGTTGCTCCTAATACTTATCATGTTCATGAATGTTTTGTCAGAAAGCAAAATGCATTTAACTTTACAGTTCAAAGACATTTGCAAATACAATTATTTCACCAGTTCCGAATAAGAAACGGATTCGGTGGTACTATAAATATACGAGCATCATTTCAAAATATGTTTTTTTTTCTCAAGGTTAAGTTCAATGACATGTGAAATTAAATATTGTTTCATAAAAGTTTAGCCTTCCCCCACAAAAAAATTATTCGCAAGTTAACTTAAGAGAATCAGTCCTTTGTAAATTATAACCATTATTTTATTGGATGCTCGATGGAAATGACTTTTACAAAATCAGAAGATTGTAGAACCAGTATGGTAGAAAAAAGAGAACTTGGGATAAGTTCGATATATGCCGACATGGTAAACCATGTTCCTGTGCATTGTCTGTACAAAACGTTATAGATAAGACGTCTGGGCTATAAAAATTATAAATCGATTAATGAATTTTAAAGAGGTTTTAAAAGTAAATGAAGCATTCAAGTACATATATTTAAAAAAGTCTTTGAAGTTTTACGAAAGACATATGACGTCGACGATGCATCATTGCAGCAATGTATTCTGAAAGTGCGTTTGTCAGAATTCCTATTAAGGTTTCGTCTTGCACAGCACCTTGCACCTGACCTGAGGTATTTTATATACGTAAGCAAGTAAAAAAAAGCTCTTTTGAAGTAGTTTAGTAATACGTTTTAGTCCAATAAGAATATTTATCGAGTTTGAATTGAAGTAATATTGAAAATTTAGAAACTTTGATTTATTTAATACTTAAATTCAAAGATTGTTTTATCAGTCGGTGCAGCTGGGGTTCTGATCCTGCAAGACACAGTTTTTATTAAAAGTTTGTAAATTATTCCCACTTTGAATGCTCATTTTGTTTAATCTAAATTGGCAAGTGAAACTGAATCAATTCTTACAATTCAGTGTGAAGTTGAACCGTTTGATTGAAATACGACAGTTAATTAATTTATCTTTCGCTTAATATATATGAGGTGATGATAAATTTGCCTGCCATACTTTTCATTTCAATGACACAGAAGCTATAGATTTAGGGTGCTTGATTTTAGTTTGAGCATGTAGGGAATTGTTTAGAAAGTCGATGCACTTGCACCAAACATGGAGTTTTTTTGGAGAATTTATGTTCACATTTTAGGTCAAGTATATTTTAGAAGAACCTAGCAACTTACACCGAGTAAGGTAAGCACCAGTCCAGTGAAGATGTCACTTAGAAGAAATTAGATCGTATCAGTGGCACCTAGCACCTGAACACCGGACACCTAAAACCAATTTGCTCCAGTATCATCGGAAGCACGTAGCACCTTACGCCAGTAGCACTTTTCACCGAGAATAACGCGAAACTATGAAATTTGAATGTGTTTTTAACATGTATCTTTGTGCATTACACTTTGGATTTTGACGTTTTATTATCAAAATGAACATATTATTATAACGTGCGTGACGGATGCCTACCAGTTAAGAACAAAAACAAGACGAATACGTTACATTGAGATACCCAAATTATTTGTATTTAAGCTCAAACGTTCATTAAACAGTGCAAATTTTCGAGCAGAACAAACACTAACCTCCTAGAAATCAAAGTTTACAGACACTTTGAAGGTCAGCGAGCATCACCCGGTAACCAGCCTTACTGCCGTTCGCCCCCACTTCTGGTCGGAAAAATTGAAAAAAATCCGCCGACAATTCACCGTGCTAAAAATGGCCCAACAATAAGTTTAAAAACATCAAGCAGTACCTGGTTTCTCATAAATTCTATTTGCTGACAAGGTCACCGTATTGACCACTTAATTTACGGAATTATGATCTTAATCAGCATTCAACTGTCGACATCCTTGTCTAATCAACTTATTTTTCATCAACTTACCTCGTTTTAGAAATTGTTCAAAGAATGAACAGCCCATATGAGTGGTTTAGAATGGGTAAATTGCATGAATTTGAGATATTTCTTTCTCTTTTTGGTTAAGATCTCTCAGAAGACTTGTGTACAACAACGAAGGAATGTACTGATGTATCTAAGACCTGTTTCCGATCTGGGGCACAAGAATATGGTATTTGTATATGTAAACCTGAATATATAGGATTTGGAACCGATTGTTTAAAAGGTAAATGTTCATCAGACGCGCCTATCTTTCCAGATTATTGAATTATTACTTAAAGCTTTAAATAAGCTATAAAGTTTTTTCATAAGGAATAGCAATCCTTACAAAACAACATGAGTTAAGTATTATATTTTTGTAGGAAATTTGAAACTGGGATACCAATGCAAGCGAAATGAGCAGTGTTTTGTGACATCTGGTTCCGTTTGTAAGAACGGTACTTGTGTCTGTGGGCCAGGATATGTCCAACTGAGTGATTCGGAGTGTTTTCCACGTATGTTCCCTTAAATATATTTTAGGGATGGTAATCGAATGCAGAATTGATAGTTGATTAACCACTAGACGTTCAGCCGATTAATCTGTTAATCGTATCATCAAAATACATGTACACATTTTCAAAGAACATGTAGCTCTTTCCGTATGTACACAGCAAAACTTAAAAAGGTACATGCAACAGAAGTTGAAAACATTTCGTTTGTCTTGATTTGTATCAGAAAACTATATTTTTGTTTCGGTTTAAAAACAATTTTAATTAGAAAACACACCTATGAAAATTCTCAATCCAATTAATTTAAAAGCACATTTCCTGCAAGGTTAAATTATCCCAATAATCTAAACCAAGTCTGAACTGTAACCCTTTATTTACAATGTTTGTCTAATATTTTAGTTAATTAAACAGAGAAATAGATAGGACAAATACCATTTCACAGTGCTCGCATTAAATGATCATCATTTAAGATATACCAGACGGTCTGTGCAGTGGAAAGGTGTTTGCAGAATAATTAACGGTACGCAAACTGACCAATTACCCCATGGTCTCAACCCGGACAACAATTATCTCCAGATTAGTTTTATAAAACGCTAAATTTCAAACCACATGTGCAGCGATTTCTGTTTTAAATTTCAATTTAAAGAACATTGTATACAATTTTATTTTTCCCACGAACCGATTACAAATTTTGTAACCAATTGTGATCCACCCGACCGAGTAATAAGCTATTATAATTTAGTTTCAGTTTTAGCACGTCAGTTGATTGATTAAACGGTTTTATTCATTTTGTGTAACATAACTTGCCTACGTCACAATGACTTACGTCAAAAACGTATTTCTCCGCTTGACGGTAACTTTTAAAATGAGTTATATTTGAAGCCTTTTTCAAAGAAAAAAAAGGAAAAATTGAATGATTGCTTACATTGAAATTAAATTATACGGAATGAAGTGTTTGTTATTGTGGATATGCCTATTTGAATAATACCAAATGTTTTTTAATTGAATTAAAAGCTTACATGAACCCTTAAAAAGCAATCATTTTTCATCTTTGTACGACTTACTACATTCCTGTACGCCTTTTCCGCCATATTTCTTCGATTCCGCCATATTTAATTGAAATGTTTGGTCACGTGTACCTTATATATATAGCCTTGTACAACTGTTTCACTTGAGTGATTTTCTAGCCTGGCTGTCTACATGTATACATCTCCGATAGCATAGGTTTTAGAAGTCAAGAAACTGACCAAATACATGTTTGCAAAGTAAAAATTCCACAAAAAATAGAACTATACCGAGAATTAAATTATTTTTGAATGCATTTGCTGCAATATAGAAAATACACTAACACGGAATACACTCATGTACAGCAAAAATCCATACAGGTTGAGAAAACGCGTCAAATGCAGTGATAAATTCATTTACCTGAATAATGCTATCGTTACATGGATGTACACATGCCAAAAGAATCATACTATTTTACTTTTAATGAAAAATGCATCTCAGAAGTCATGTTATCCATTGCTAACTCAACAGTGAAAGATGATTGGACACACGTGGCCCATGCCGATCACTTTATTTGATCAGGGAAAATATCAAAGGTTGAAAGCTCAGTGGGGTTGATTGAAAAAAAATGCAAGTATTTTTTTTCAAAAATAAACAAAACTCTTGTCTGTAAATGTTGTAAATAAAATTGATGATGACATGGTTTACTTCATCAAATTCATAACAAAGATATTTTCCTATGATAGGAAGGGGGGCTGTAATAAAACATGCATAACACTCTCTTAGAATAATTTAAGAAAAACGTCTGAAACAGATTAGATTTCGTTATGATCAATTATTATCAAATGAATACTGTTTATTGGCTTTATTAAACCTAATATAATTTGATTTAAAGTTATTCAAAATTTTATGCACAATGAAAGAAAAAGTGAGCAAGTTCACATACCCCACTCTACCCCGCAAGTCGAAGTGCTGAAATTCCCAGAAAAAAATAAAGAAGTCGTAATTTCCTTGTAATATGCACATCTATGCACATTGTGTCCTAAATATCTGCAAAGTTTGACGAAATTGTGTGAAGCGGTTTATGAGGATTGTGCTGACAATCTGCTCATCTCTATATTAAAGATATGGCCAAAAACTAAATGTAAAAGTGCGAAAATTCCCGAAAAAATAAAGAATTCGGAATTTCCTGGTGATGTGCAAATATACACACACACTATCTCCTATAAATATCTGCAAAGTTCAACAAGACTCTGTGCAGTGGTTTATGAGGAGTTGCGCTGACCAAAAAAAAAATGACTGACTGACGGGTCAAAACATTATACCTCACGTAACTTGTTGCGAGTGGTATAATAAACGAGTTTTATTCAGTGGTACAATGATAATCAAAATAGAATTTAATGTTAATCAAATTTCTAGATATAAATAATTAATGATTATTAGAAAAAGCATATAGGAAGAGAGAACAAACTCCAAAGAAATATGGCGGAATACGGCTATAGTTGGTATGAAACAAGTTGTACCTATATGAAAATGTTACGTTTTTAAGAATTCGTGTCAGCTTTAATATGCAGAGACCTCATTAAAGTCGCCTTTAGGAACGCTTAGACAGTAACATACTGTAATGACAGACAAAGCTCCTCAAAAACTCCTCGAAAATCCTAAAAATTCAAAATTTCTTATTCATTACAGCTAGATATTTAAACACCTATTGATATTATCCTTACTATTTTGAAAAGTCCTGGGATATGAATGTGTGCTGTTGCGTTATTCTGTAATTTTAAAACAATATATCAATGCGTATTGAGTCAATGCAGAAGTTTATTCAAGACATGGCTAATTACTACGTTTTTTCCCAGACAGGCGGAAATTACTCCCAATACCTATTGTGTTCAGAACAATTTTACCTGAAAGAAAACACATATCATTTTTCAATGCAAAGACATCATTGAATATCGTCGAACGTTTAATAATTGTCTAAAGATAAACATGTCACGTGATAAATAAATCTTGTCAGTGAAATCGTTTTTATACAGCCTAACTCATCGAAAAATCGATATTGTTAATATCCAAAAAAGTAGATTTTAATTTCATCAAACTAATTCTGATTTTAAAAAATCTCAATATTACATTTACATTCTTGAAATATTTTATAATAGATTTCAACAAAGCTGCAATGCTCAATAATTAAAAACAAGTTATCAATCCTGTAATAAAGACTATTCTGTTAATGATATGGATTTTTCCAAATGAAAAGGAGTCATTTTATATTACATTATTTTTTTTATTTACAAAATTCCTTTTTAGTACACCTCACAAATGATTTGTGCATATGGACCAGGGATTGCAGAGATGCATCTAAGATATGTTCGTTAAGAGGACAGGTCGGAGTTTGTGTATGCAAAGATGGGTATATAGGATTTAGAAACAAGTGTTTAAAAGGTATACAATTGCTAGTTTATTAAAAGACACGAACTTTGAAATTTAAAAGAAAAGAAATATTTAATTTTTTACTTGAACTGTGTTCGAAATCATTTACTCACGCAAACAATACTTATATATCATGAGAGGATTTATAAACTATTTTTCTTGTTTGAAAGGCAATTTAAAATTGAATGAAACATGCCAACGAAATGAACAGTGTTCTGAGCCAACTGGATCTGTTTGTCAAAACAACACTTGTGTTTGTAAGTGTTTGTTATTGTGGATATGCCTAATTGAATGATCCCAAATGCTTTCTAATTGAATTTAAGATATAGAGACCTCATATTAAGTCGCCTTAAGGCACGATTAAACAGTTAGGTACTATAATGACGGACAAAGCTTAAAAAAAGCTCCTCGAACATCTCAAAAATTCAATATATCTTTAATTATAGCTAGAGATTTAAACGCCTGTTGAAATTATCCTTACTATTTTGAAAAGTGCTTGAATATGGTTGTGTGCTGGTGCGTTATCCCGTAATTTATATATAAATTTATCAGTGCGTATTGAGTCAATGCAGAAGTTTTTTTCAAGACATGGCTAACAACTACGTTTTTTTTCCCGGACAAGCGGAAGTTACTCCCAATACCTATTGTGTTCAGAACAATTTTACCTGAAAGAAAACACATATCATTTTTCAATGCAAAGACATCATTGAATATCGTCGAACGTTTAATAATTGTCTAAAGATAAACATGTCACGTGACAAATAAATCTTGTCAGTGAAATCGTTTTTATACAGCCTAACTCAACGGAGAACCGATATTGTTAATGTACAAAAAAGTAGATGTTAATTTCATCAAACTAATTCTGAATTTAAAAATCTCAATATTACATCAACATTCTTGACATATTTTATTGTAGATTTTAACCAAGCTTCAATGCTCCATAATTAAATACAAGTAATCAATCCTGTAAGAAAGATTATTCTGTTAATGACATGGATTTTGCCAAATTTTATGAACGGGAATCATTTTATATAACAGTATTTTTTTTAATTTACAAAATTCATTTTTAGTACATCTCACAAAAGATTTGTGCATATCGACCAAGGATTGCAGAGATGCATCTAAGATATGTTCCTTAACAGGACAGGTCGGAGTTTGTGTATGCATGGGACGGACAACTTCGGAATGGACATTTTTCCGAACTTGCGCACCCTTTTCCTTTAAAGCTATCATCTTAGGGTTTTTTTTAAATGGTGGGGTTTTTATAATCAAATTGATTTATGAAAAAAAAAATTCAACATTTTCTGCTACTTTTTGAGATATTTGAGTTCAAAAAAAAAATCCCATGGGGAAACATGAACTTAAAAATACCCCACAAAAAACCCCACAAAAACCCCATGGGGTTTATTTTTCACCCCATGGGGTTAAATAACCCATATTATTTTTCGTGGGGTTTTTTAACCCACGTCTCACTAAAAATAAAATGTGGGGTTTATTATCCCATAATTTTTTATGTGGGGTAAAAAAACCCACATTATTTCTCTTAATGCTTGTAATCATGGTAAATTATCAAGTAAGAATTATAAAATAAATATTGTTTGGAGTTGTGTACATTTTTTATCAACTTTGTAACAATTTAATTAATTAATTTTTTTTCAAATTAATTGATATAGTATATTATAATACCTTTTATCGCTGCATATGTAAATTAGACATGGCATAAGCATGATAAGAAGGGAAATAAATTATATTTTTTTTTGACTGACCCGTAAGTGAAAAAGTAAACAAATACGGATTAAAAGTTTGAAAGTTTATCTAATATTCCAAGTGGGAGAGAGTTAAATATAAAAAAGACACTGGAGGCAGTACAGGCAATTTTATCAGAAAAACAATGTAAAAAATAACGTGACTTTGTTTACGCTAGCGTAGCTCACAGGTTATTGTTTTCACTATTTTACTGATAAAACTGCCGACTCCTCAGTCCTGTAACCTGTTGATCGTGAATCACATAGTAATGATACACTTGTTCTACTTACATGTAGTTTAGTTTGAGCTCTGCTGTTTGTAGCATAATGGACTTGATTCAAACAAAGACAAAAACTTTTCTACTATTCAAAGAATGTTTTTGAAATTGATTGAAAGAGACCAAATCAAATCATAACTTGTGATACTTCTTTACTTGATAATTCCTCATTTTGGCACCATTGTCACCCACATCTTTTTCTTTCCCTATGTATAAGTCGTACTCTGAGAAACATATGGGTGACTCTGACAAATAGCGTAAAATTCAAAGACTAAACTGTTAAATTTATCCGGAATTTGTTTTTCCGCTATATTGACAAAAGGTAAGTATATTATACTTATAGATGTTTATGTCCACTGGCCCTGATTTGGGAATAAATCCCATTATATTCCATTCTAAATAATCTGTAAATGTAGTAGCTTCTCAATCCTAAACCAGAAAAATGCTTTCTTTAAAGTAATTAAAAAACCAGTTCGTCTTCTTTCATCTCTTTTTTATGATTTAAATATATTAATTCCTTTGAAATAAGCTATAAAAGTGTTATATTGCATATAACATGCAAATAGGACCAATTATTACCTGATTATATGTTTGAATGATCATTACATTAATCATGACAAAGTACAGATTTTAAACTTGTGGTAATTTCCTTAAATATTTCCAAAAAAATATATAAACAAATACTTTGATATTAAAAGTTAGAATTACTAAATACAAGAAATTTATTCCAAATTGGCTAAATATCATTGAAAAGTATAAAAAAAAAAGATATGGTCATCTAAAGACAGAGAATTTTTACCAGGTAGTATTTTTATTCAAGGTGAGGGAGGGGCTAATTTTATACAGGTGTGAATACCTTGGAGCTAGCAGTCTACCTGAATGGATACACAGTGGAATACCCTAGGTGTCAAACTTTACCTGTGTTAGGGATTTTGATATTTTTAAAATAAGTAGTAAAAAGGTTTCTCAAGTATTAAAATATTGAATTATTTTTTAAGGTTTAAAAACACCCCTATCCATTAAAAAAAAATATTATATCATACTATAAACTGCCTTTATGAGAACTCACCAGTATATATGACTGTTTGAGGATAATCTTCCTAGGAAATTTTCAGTCCTTATTTTGCAATTTATAATTTTTGATTTAGAAAGTTCATGCTTTTACAAGAAAAATAAAACAATACTAATGCCAAATTTCATTGAAAAGGAAAAACTTATGACCATTTAAGAGTCAACACACTGGTACGATCGACTGAATATAACCTGGTGATGGATTCTCCCCATGTACATTTCAGTTTTCTTACAATTCATCATGTAAGATTTAGAAAGATTATGCCATTGCAAGAAAAAAAAAACATACTTGCCAAATTTCATTGAAAAATAAGAAAGTTAAATGGCCAGTTTAGAGAACACACCTGTACGATTGACTGAATATGACATGATGATGGATTCTCCCCATGTAAATTTCAGTTCTTTTACAAATTATCATGTAAGATCTAGAAAGTTTATGCCATTGCAAGAAAAATAAAACCATACTTGCCAAATTTCATTGAAATATGAAAAAGTTATGGCCAGTTAACAGAACATACTAGTATGATTGACTGTGTATAACATGATGATGGATTCTTCCTATATAAATTGATGTTCTCTTTTAGTTTTACAATTTATCATTTTAGATTAAGAAAGACCATACTTTTACAAGAAAAATAAAACCATTCTTGCCAAATTTCATTGAAATATGAAAAAGTTATGGCCAGTTAAGAGAACACACTAGTACGATTGACTGAATATGACATGATGATGGATTCTCCCCATGTAAATTTCAGTTCTTTTACAAATTATCATGTAAGATTTAGAAAGTTTATGCCATTGCAAGAAAAATAAAACCATACTTGCCAAATTTCATTGAAATATGAAAAAGTTATGGCCAGTTAAGAGAACACACTAGTGCGATTGACTGTGTATAACATGATGATGGATTCTTCCTATATAAATTTGATGTTCTCTTTTAGTTTTACAATATATCATGTAAGATTAGAAAGTTTATACCATTACAAGAAAAATAAAACCATACTTGCCAAATTTCATTGAAATATGAAAAAGTTATGGCCAGTTAAGGGAACACACTAGTATGATTGACTGTGTAAAACATGATGATGGATTCTTCCTATATAAATTGATGTTCTCTTTTAGTTTTACAATTTATCATTTTAGATTAAGAAAGACCATACTTTTACAAGAAAAATAAAACCATACTTGCCAAATTTCATTGAAAAATAAGAAAGTTAAATGGCCAGTTAAGAGAACACACTAGTACGATTGACTGAGTATAACATGATGATGGATTCTCCCTATGTAAATTTCAGTCCTCTTACAATTCATAATTTTAAGTCTCAACTCATTTAAGTGGTTATAATCTGCACCAGTAAGAACATTTTAATAGAAAAGGTCATATATTTTATGTAGGCATTCACAAATTAATTTGGTAAAATTAAAAAGAAATGTTGGAAAAGTATTCCATGAAGATACAGTACATTTTAATCTGTTTAATAAGAAATATATGAAGAAGTTGAATAATACATGTATGAATTCTTATTTATGAAAATAAGTTGCAACCGATTTTGAATGAGCAAACCATGAAGCCTTATGTCAGAGACATTTATTAGTATTTGGAAATTTATCAATATGTCAACGACTGTTTTCAATGGCAATAACACAATAATTATCAATTGGTAAAATTACAAAAAAAAAAGTTAATTTTTTATTTTTTTTTTTATTTATGTATTTATTTTGTATTTTCATCAATGAACACTTTGAAATGTGCTTTTTACTAGGAAAACTTAAAAACAAAATTTAGATTAGCTAGTTACTCTGAAACCAGCTATGTATACACAAATGGATATAGTAAACAGGAAATGGCTCGTGTAATGATCAGTCTGTGTGGAAATAAATTCTTGAATATATGTATATACCGGGTATATCATCATATAGACTGAAACTCTGAAAGGTGTGAGAATATTCCTTCAGGCAAAATTCTCCAATATATTTTCAAAGGTGTGAAATAGGGATAAGTCACTGATTTCAATTTAATTGATCTTTTACAAATTTATACAGATTTTCAGAATTAATAAATTGAAAATCAATCTGCACTTCATCCCTTTTATGACAACACTAATCAAAGGGTTTTAATTAAGACTGTTTTTCATGATTCATCACTCCAATTAAAATCATCATAATTTAATAATTAGGTACATTGCATGCCAGTACTCAGTGGTCATTAAATAATACATGGCTTCCCCTCTCTCTCTCTCTCTCTCTCTCTTGAATGTATAAAATTATTGCACCCACAGTTTTTTTTTCATTTTTTTTTTTAAATTTTTTCCCCCCAGAAAATTTCAATTTTAGTTGTTGACAGGATAAGTGGAATAAAAAAAAACCCTTCAGAGAGAGAGAGAGAGAGAGAGAGAGAGAGAGAGAGAGAGAGAGAGAGAGAGAGAGAGAGAGAGGATATAAAACAATATCAAAAAAATTCTGTTAGTTGTACATAAACACTTGAGGGGAAATTTGGAATAGCATGTTAAATATAAAGCATTCTGAAATAATCAGACCATTGAATTTTTTTTTTTTTTGGTTTCCCAAATAACGATGAAATGCATAAGAAATATTGTTTAAGCTTTCCGTTAATACTATAATTGGTGTTGATGTACATGGTTAAGGTTGTGCAGTTCTTAAGATTTAAATATATATGTAGTAAAAATCATTTGAATCCGTGTAAGATGGCTGCATCCCTCTACATTTTCTCTACTTAATTAACTTGACTACAGTTTTGCTACAAACCTGACTGTGAACTCTTGTTTATTTGCAATATATATAGTAAGGCACCAGTTCATGTCATTCAGTTGTAAATGAGGAAATTCATATACCGGTTTTTTTTTGTTTCTATTTAATTTATTGTCTTTCTGTTGAGAGACTGTAGACAGAAGTGTAACATGAAAATAAGAGTAGTTGCCTTTCATACTTTAACCTTTCTTACATTGTTTATATACCAAGTGTTCTCCGGTGACAGCTTTTGATACTTATGAA